GAATTTCGAAGAGATGTGATGGGAATGTTTCACAAGAATCAAACTCTAATGACCTCATATCTACTGTCGCTGATCCTCAGCATCTAGTCAGCTCTAGTGGACTCTCTACTCAATGCGGAAAATATGCTTTAAATAGAGTCACACTAACTGTTACTTGGGTATACGAGGACCCAACATTATTCCGCGGGGGAGGATAGACGCGAAGAAATCCAGAATCCGGATATCAACTCCGGATCTCCAAAAAAGGGGAGGTGTTGGGATATTCAGGAAAATATCCCAGAAATTATCCTAGTTAGCCTGATGCTATTCTTGGACTTGGACATGGTATTATTTTCTTATTGGTCAATACTTATTTAACGTGTCATTTTCCTACTGGCCAATATTGTATAATGTTATTTTCTATTTTATGGTATGATGTGGTTTGTTTGACTGGTATATAAACAAAGTATGTTTGAAATATAATGATTCATATATCCGAGGCTGTGACTTGCGTTCTGGACTCAACTGCTGGGCTAGATAGGGAAGCGGGGCCAATCAGAACTCTAGGTCGTTCTACGTGTCTGCGCGTCTTTGGTCCGATCGATAATTCGCTACCCCTTAATCTGCTGCTACTGTCTCACAGTTATAACAGACTGTTTTGTGTGAAGTTAGAAATGTAAACCAATAAATTCCAAAAGAGTGGTCCGAAAGTTGATCACTTATTATTTCTGAAGACCTTTGTTTCCGTCTCCTTTAAAATCATGGTTATGCACTGCTAACAAGCCGACAAAATATTCGGCTGGTGCTTTGTGAATAGCAATAATTTTCAAGCTAAAATTAGTCAATAATTTAAACTAACAAATGTATATATATCCTGAAATATCCACTTGTACGTTCGAAACTTCAGTTATTCGTTATGATGGGAAAGAAAAATGTCTAAAGTTATTTCTGGAAACTAAATTGTTTGAAAATCATAGTGCACTAATTGACTTGATCGATAGAATCCAACTAGTGTTAAAGTGATAGACAAACAGAACACTGGTTTCCACTCAGCGACGAGTCAATTGTAAATGAATCTCAATTGTACAAAGAAAGTGAGCCTCCAACAGAATAGCTCAATGGTAATGTCTCAGATTAGGAAGCTGAGTGATGCAAGGTCGAGTACAACATGGATCACTATTTCCCTTAAGATCGCAGTTACACCTCACTGACAAGTGCTTAGTGGAATGAAAGCTAGATCAAGTAGGGTTCCCTGTCGACTACTTCTAACTACCTGACTATGCATTAATATATATAATCAAATTCAACTAGTCGTAATGAACTGTACAACTATGTAGTAATAATCATACAAGGTTACATCATCAGAAAAAAATAAAATTGTTCCAGAAAGAGATTTCCCTGTTCGCCTATGCCATTTACTAAGATTGTACATTTTTATAACTATTATTCAGTTATTTGATAGATATTACTCTAAAAACAAATCGGTAAGGTATTGGGCCATCATCAAGTGATGGAAAATATTGAAATTTCGAGCCAAAGTTACATAAAAGTTATTTTAACGGGTAGTTAGGAAATAGATTATAGATGGGAAGCGTGAAAAACTGTCAATCACTTCATGGATATAAAGAATAAGAAGGTGTGAAATTGTGTTATAATTTGTAAAATCAAAAGGATCAAGATCATGTTTACATTTGATATTGGATATGTATCCTTTAAACATTTAGCATAAGCTTGAATTATGAAATTGTCATAGTATGTCTCATTTACACGTTTGTGAGCTGTATTTCTGTCTTACACTGGTTCGTCTTACTTCTTGGACAATTTTGAGAGAGGGTTTATCTGGGCGCTATGTGACAAGGGTTGATATGACATTCGAGAATGGAACTGTCAATTTTGACAGACATGTAAGATAATAGTTAGATTTATGTTTAGACAGGTCACACTTTGTACATACAGTATGACCTGCTTCACAAAAATAAGTAAACCGATGAATACATATAGAGGTGATCCATAACAGCAAACTCTCATTGATATATGCTTTCATCAACAGTCGACTAGAAGATACCATCCGTAACCCATTTAAATAGGTCTATCTAAGAGACAGTCAGTCTTTTAAGATCTTTGCTGAACCCTCCCATGTAAATTAACAGTTTATGAACAAAGTTTTATTTAATGCTGTGGAGAGTCACTCAACTCTCCCTTACGTTATCATCTTTCATTCAATCAACGAAAGTGAGCGGTCATTTTTGGTAAATATGCTTTGAATTTTAGCCAATTAATTATTGAACACATCCTTAGTGTAACTTTATCTGACCCTCAACAAGATAAAATAGACTATGTTCTTATTCATGTTTAGTAGCATTTCATCTTGAAAATTTATTGACTCCCCTTTCAAAGTTGGTTTTATTTTTAATAAGTCTCGTAGGCAGTTGTTCTGTGTTCACATCAAATTCAAGTTTATGAATTTGATCAGCTGATGGGTTTTAGATTGTCTCTGTGAACTTTGAAAGTCGACGAATTCTGTCATCTTAAGATGAATTCCTAAGAGTATGTAAAAAATAGATTTCTTTTCACCTCATAACTGACATGAAAATCTCCTCATGCCATGGACTTGTCAAACGACTGACAAGAACTCCACAAGGAATCAGAAATCATCTTAATTGATACAGTAATTTGAGTTCTTTAAATTTAACTAAAATTAGTAAATAATACAAAGTGAGAATAAAAATGTCACTAAGTATTATTGATCTAATAACATATCTCTATAAAATTAGAACTAAACAATCCAGTTCTTCAGTAAAATTGGATAGCTGCTTGCAGTGTGATCCAAGACTCACGTTTTATCCTATATGGAACTCATCAGTTAGATGTATGTGGAATCAGGTGTTGATATTTACACTGGGACACTCACATCGTGGATTTAATTGCTAGTTACCATCCAACTTTGCTTAGAAATGCTAATAGCCTATAGACTTTATCGAAGCAATCTGCACAGGATGAACATATGATAAATGAGTTTGATCAGTTACAATCCTTTAAATCAACAGGAAAATTCAAACAATCATTCCAAACGAATTAAATAATTTGGTATTATAATGATGACATTGACACTCAATCATCAACCAGTTAATTGACTGCCAGATGGTAGTCTTTTCATTCTGTAAAGTTTCATGCATTATGATCGAAACAGTTCTGTAATGCCCCCTCTCCAAGTTTCCAACAATTCTTTCACTAATATCAATTTGCAATAACAACTCCTGTAAGTTTACACCTAACCTGTGTGTGCATTGTGTGCTGGGGTATTTTGAAGGCAGCTGGGGTGAGAGAATTCGGAAAAAAAGAAGGACAAGCGAGAAACATAGACCGAACTGACCAACTACTCCGCAGTTAGATGGAGATCACACTAATCACCCACTCTGTCTAAACCTTGATTACATGAATTGGGAGTATGACAGAGACAGGAGTAGGTTAGAGCGTAGACCATAAGCTGTATCGTGACCGGTTCGTGGTAAGAGCGCGAAATGAGTACACCGTCTATGATGACTTATATACTGATTTGAATACTAGATACTCATTCAGTGAAAATTCTACTGGACTTGGGGGGCCTGGAGCGTTATGATCTATGCCTATGTGTATTCTATAGAGTGTATGGGCCTTGGCTTATGCATTGTAAATACGCATGTGTAGTATGCTTGCCAACGGAAACTTTGATGCCTTACTATATTCGTGGGAGCGTGGACTTACCTAAGCTTTCCATAATTATATACATAGTATACTAGCAATCGCCCCCATCTATATCAATATGTATATCGCTGGAATGTATGCACCTTTGATACTTGTATTTGAATATATACATATGAAGCATACTTGGAGATACTGTCCACCTTTCGCCATTAATGAACTCATTATTAGTTCATTAGCGCTTTTGGTTTACGTAAAAACTTACAAAAGAGATAGGAAACGAGTAGTAGAGACTAACAAAAATACGTCTGCACTACGTACTGTGAGTCAAGTTAATTACCTATGCTACTGATATCATAATCCTTATATCCACTATTCAGTCTCACTATCTTTTCAAAGCTCTTCTCAACCCAAAGAACTATGGGGCTTCCCCCCACACTTCGTTGAGTCGGTAACTGTCAGCAAACACACACTTTGAATAATAAAAGGAATTGACAGTAACTAATAATCACATGGAATTGATCTAATAATCGAAACTAGCAGTTGGATAGCATTAGATTTTGAATATGTTACACTCTCTACAAATAGATTTAATCTTCACAATGTATTCGGTTAAATAAAACATATTTATAACTGATTAGCTTACTGCTTATTTATTCAAGTTTAAATTATAACATGGCAGTTTTTTTTAATAAGAACATTACACATAAATAACAGTTTACTCAGGCAAAGTTTTCAATGCCAACAATTGAATTACACAATGAGTATTCTCTTCATTTAACTAGTTATTTATTATTCTATTAGAAAACCTTTTAAATTATATTGAAATGAAACGAAGTGTAATGTATATCTAATATATTCCCTAAATAGTTCATAAATCATCATAGCATAATACGTGAGGTGTCAAAGAATGAAAAATCTAAACTAAAATTGACACGAATTTCTAGTTTGACTCATTTGCATTTAGATTAACAGACTTTTTTTTACCACATCCAAATTGTCGGTTTAGATTATGATGATGGAAAGAACACCATAGTCAATTGTTTAAATGTATAGAATATTTAACTGAATAGTATTTATGTATGAAAATGATTGTTTGTAAGTAGTGTGTAGCAAGACAAAGCGTCGAATATGTAACAATTTTCAGTTGGATTGAAAAATCCCACTACATCGAAAGTATGGAGATTGGATAACATGTGGTGATCAGACGAGAAGATGGTTCAGATAGCAGAACACATCGAAAGATTCAAATGGAAGAATGAATGCTATGTATAAGTATTGTGTAAATACTTCGTAACTTCTCGTCATAATTACGCTTTCCTCTTGCCTATTGTCATGTTTTACACTACTAAACCACTACTACTACTACTACTACTACTACTACTACTACTACTACTACTACTACTACTACTACTACTACTACTACTACTACTACTACTACTACTACTACTACTACTACTACTACTACTACTACTACTACTACTACTACTACTACTACTACTACTACTACTACTACTACTACTACTACTACTACTACTACTACTACTACTACTACTACTACTACTACTACTACTACTACTACTACTACTACTACTACTACTACTACTACTACTACTACTACTACTACTACTACTACTACTACTACTACTACTACTACTACTACTACTACTACTACTACTACTACTACTACTACTACTACTACTACTACTACTACTACTACTACTACTACTACTACTACTACTACTACTACTACTACTACTACTACTACTACTACTACTACTACTACTACTACTACTACTACTACTACTACTACTACTACTACTACTACTACTACTACTACTACTACTACTACTACTACTACTACTACTACTACTACTACTACTACTACTACTACTACTACTACTACTACTACTACTACTACTACTACTACTACTACTACTACTACTACTACTACTACTACTACTACTACTACTACTACTACTACTACTACTACTACTACTACTACTACTACTACTACTACTACTACTACTACTACTACTACTACTACTACTACTACTACTACTACTACTACTACTACTACTACTACTACTACTACTACTACTACTACTACTACTACTACTACTACTACTACTACTACTACTACTACTACTACTACTACTACTACTACTACTACTACTACTACTACTACTACTACTACTACTACTACTACTACTACTACTACTACTACTACTACTACTACTACTACTACTACTACTACTACTACTACTACTACTACTACTACTACTACTACTACTACTACTACTACTACTACTACTACTACTACTACTACTACTACTACTACTACTACTACTACTACTACTACTACTACTACTACTACTACTACTACTACTACTACTACTACTACTACTACTACTACTACTACTACTACTACTACTACTACTACTACTACTACTACTACCTAATATGTCACAGTCGTTGTTATCACTGCTAGATCGGTATTTCTCACCGATTGGCTTGTAAATAGCGTTAGAATTAACTTTAGAAAATATCTATATAACATATGAGAAATAACTTAAAACCTAGGTCTAAGTTTCTTGAGAATTCCCTTCAATTATTTAACAGTTGTCTGAGTTAGTTAATTTTATTTATTAAAAAATTCAAACAGATGAATCAACTATTCAATGATCACTTGTTTCATTAAATAAGATGAATACAAAAATGTTAGCAAATGTTTGCTATGATGACTATAGTTAATAATAGTTGAGAAGTGTAGAAACTATAGTGTTTTTATCATGAGTCAATTGAAGCTAGACCACCATGGGAAACCTGAAAGCAATGGACGGCCATTTCGTCCTGCTTCCAGCTCTAGCTTCAATTGACTCACGATGTCAACTATTAAAATTACTATAATATCCACAAAACAGCTTCTGATATAATGTTTTTAGTTTATAGATTATAAAATCACTTCCTTTAAATAACAAAATAACTGTTCTTAACAGAGATGGATGGTTGCTAGTAGTGAAATCCAGGACCTGTTAGCTGGATATACCTAAATCCCTGAAATATCGAAGCGATTCGATCAAAATGCATGTATGCCAAATAAAAAACTGATCTATTACTGTCCTAAACATCAATGGGTAAATTTAAACAACCAACACAAATGAATTGAAATAACTGTTTGGTTTTAAGTTCTATACAGCATTAGTTTTTTAAAAGTGATTTATGCCTTACTAAACAAATCAAGTGAAGCAATGTTTGTTAAATGTAACGAGAATAAGCATAAATTTATATGATTTTAATAGTTGAGATCGTGAGTCAATTGAAGCTAGACCACCATAGAAAACCTGCAAGCACTGGATGGCCGTTTCGTCCTATTGTGCGACATCTCAGCAGTGCGCATGCACGATTTCGCCTCGCGAGATTCCAACCCAGGAACTATCAATCTCGCACGCGAGCGCTTAACCATTTGACCACTGAGCCTGCATCCAGCGGTATTAATGTCTAACTTCAACTGATCCATGAAATTGAGCCACCGTTCACGATTGTCTCAAATGAGTCATTATCTCACAACAGTCCCAGTTGGACTCCACTGGTCACCGCTTTTCACTAGAACTCCAGGAAATGTCTCTTGGGGACCGTGCGAGACTGATAGGTCCTGAGTTGGAATCTTGTGCGGCAGGATCGTGGATGTGTACTGCTAAGAAGTCCCACAATAGGACAGAACGGCCGTCCAGTGCTTCCAGGTTTTCCATGGTGGTTTAGCTTTAATTGGCTCATGATCTCAATTATTAAAATTACTATAATATCCACAAAACCCATTCTGATATAAAATTATGTAATTAATGTTCAATATTTAGTTCCAGTAATAAGGATAAAAAGTTGATTGTTCTTGAAATAAGTATTTCTGTAAAGATCTAGTTACTATTTTTCTCCTTAAATGTATTCACCAAGATCACCTAGCTTTCCGTAATAGAATTAGAGAGAAAATATTTAAACATATTAAATTCTCTTCACAGGAGAGATTAAAAAGACATATCAGTAACTTATACCTACTTGAGAGTATCAAAGCCTAAGATATAGACTTGCTGCTTAAGTCTAATATTCCAAATGAAGTATCCTACAGACAAACTATGAAATTGAAAAAAATATTTCTTTCAAAACATTTGAAGGCTCTGAAAATTGGCCATAACACACAAAACTCTTTAACGGCTGCTTTAATGAACTATGTAGTCTGTTTCAAATGACGGTTTACAACTATCCTCAAATCTTTTTGGTTCATACACTTGTAGAAGTAGTGTGTCCTTAATAGTGTACTGGTAAATATTAACATGATCGTTGTAAATTAGCACACTTCCTTGAGCTAATCTCTAACCCTAACTTTGGGATTATCTAAATCATTCTGAAGCTTAAACTTATCAGCATTGCTAATTATTATTTATCAGACGTTAAAATTATCTGCAAATAGAAGTAATGACTATCTAAATACATACATACATTTCAATGAACCAAATTAGTTCTATTTTATTGTTGATAAAATGTTTTTTAATAATACAAACAGAAGTAGACAAAAACGCCATTTATCACTCTACTAATGTTTGCCCATATAAACAAGGATATATTGAAGTGCAACATGATGCATAAATGATAAAAGCATTCAGAATAGTAATTAAGTTTCATTGAAATCATAAACCAACCAATGTTAAACCATCATTGAAAACCTGGAAACACTGAATAGTCATCTTGTCCTATTATGGGACTCCTCAGCAAGACTCGGACTAACAACTTTCGGTCTCACGTGTAAATGCGTAAACTCCATATCACCGAGTTCGGATCTAACGGTTTTGATGTGTAACCAACCTTTGATGTCGTACGACCACCTGTACATTGCTGAGGAGTCGTAAACTAGGACAAAACGTCCATCCAGTGCCTTCAGATCTTCAATGCTTGTCTATCATTGATCGGTTCATAATTTCAGGGAAACTCAACAACCTCCACAACCTCAAATTGAAACTAGCCATTAAACTAATTGTACAGTTCTATGATGATAAGATGTATATAAGTCATTGTTTAAACATTATAAATCACTTTATTTTCTATTTACTCCGTTATTACACTCAACTCAACTGAATTTATTTAATCCAGAAACTTTTGTTATATTACGTAATGTAGGCATCTTTAAAATTACATAACACTCCAACTACATTTACCAATTCACATGTACGTGCCGTAGCACATACATTGGAAGAACTGAGAGAAGAGTACAGGTTCGCATTTCTGAGCATATTCCGAAGAACTTGACGCTGCGAGGGACCAAAGCTTTTAACAGTGCAATAGCTCGGCATCTACTTGACACCGGGCATACTGTCAATATTCTGCACGCGTTTAAAATTATCAATAGACAAAAAAGTACTACCACTCTCCGCTTTGCTGAAGCGATTGCGATTAAGAAACTGAAACCGGATTTATGCATTCAAAAAGAGACTTGAATAAACTTATCACTACCCTGGTAATCTTTTTGTTTCTGTTTGTTTTGGGTTTTGGTTATTTTTTTGTTTACTTATTCTAAGATATTTTATACTCCCCCCTATTACCTAATTTTTAAAATAAATTTTATTCACACATTTCCACCACCTGATCCTCTTAAATTATCTTAACTTTCCAAATTCTATTTAATTATTATTACGTAATCTACCTTATCATTATTTAATTCCATTAATCTCTACAATTATCACACAATTTATGAACTTCACTAAATTATTACACCACCCACCCTGGATTAACCCCCCCTCTCTTGACCTCTGACCTGTTTCTAGCATATATATATATATATATATATATATATATATATATATATATATATATATATATATATATATATATATATAGTTATTATTGTAATCCAGTTATTTACACTCATTTATGCCAATTGTTAACACACTATCTCCATGTCAAAATTCTATCACAATTTTGGTTTGTAAGCAGCTGACGAGAAACCTCGAAATAATATGAATTCATACTATTCTGCATCAATGTTTGTTCTTGCTTTATTCAAATTCATAAAGGGAACCAATTGCATGATACTTGCTGACTGACTGATCAAATCCAAGTAGATGGAAAATTTATGATATTAACTATTCTACAGGTTTAAATGTAAAGTCTAGGTACTTTGACATGAAATATGATATTATCAATAAAAAAAAGCTTGTGGAGACCATTAAATTTAACGGATCATATCACAAACTGATCTTAGTTGAACAAATACTGAATATCAGTAAGAATTGGAAATCTGTTTCGTCCTAGTATGAACATCTTCAGTAGTATACATCTAGTAGCTCATCTATTGATCGAACCCAAAACACTTAGAGTTACCACTTAATATTCAAACCATTATATTGTCATCTAATGGTTTATATGTTCAGCTTCAATTAATTTACGATATCACGCAATCAACTGCTAATCCAATTGATAAGTAACTGACTCACACTCGATATGACTGAACTGTACTAGCTAAAATTCCTCATGAGAATTCTATTAATTACTTCTTGAAATAAGTCACTAGGAAGTACATAATAATTTTCAGTATAAGAACGAAATAACTATTTAGTAGTTCCTATTTTCCTATGATTGTTTAACTATGAATGGTCATTGATGTAGGTTATACAAAACTATGAGATTAATAAACAAAATACTACTGATAGTAAACAAGTAGTAGGCCAATACTATGAACTGAATAATGTCTAAAATTTGATTTTTGATCCCAATTATCACTTATATTAAGTGATTTTTAGATTGTTCAACACTTCATAAATGATAATAATAAGAATAATAATAGATTGACTAGGTTATTATTCATACAGAATAGATGAAATATAGTGAATAGTGGAATTCAGAACATATGTTTCATCTTATTTCGGACTCGTCAGTTGAATGTACCATGCCAACTACAAGATAAGAAATTTCAACAACGTGATAATCTATGCTACCTCAAATTGAATTGGATTACTTTTTGTTTCGTCTGCTCCTTTAATGCTACAAATCTCTTCTTCAATTCACATCATATATTCTATGACAAAAAGAAACAAATGAGTTTTATCAATGGATACATTTTAATACCCACACACACATCACAGTGTGGAAGCAAAAAACTGTGTATCTTATAGATATAATATGATCACAACCAGTATATAGGTTTGTTTGTTTATGTTTATTTAAAGACATATTGACATCATTTAAATAGTTACTAACACTAATCACTGTATCAAATTTGAAATTAAGTAAATCAATCAATGACAGTTGAAATGAATGGTACTAGGTTCGAACCCTAGAGTAAGCATCAATTTAGAGATGTAATTACATCCGGATGACGAGTCTTAAACAGGACGAAACTTACACTTTTCAAATTTCATTGTTACCTATCATTCATCTTTACTTGTAAGTTGCTTTTTGTTCATTTGTTCATTTATTTATTTATCTTATTAATGCTTCTTCATTCTCTAGTTTATTGAGAATATGAGATAGAATGGAATAAATTTCAATTTTAGTTGTTATC